GGAATCTGAATCCAGGGTCTCAGCAGGATCTTGCTCTGTCTGTCTGCTTGAGGGGAAGTCCCTCCCTCCGTCCCCCTTGTCTATTTCAGTTTCTGGTAGCCATGGGCATTTCTTGACTTTTAGATGTATCTTATCTTTTCCTAGTGTCACCGTGTGCCTCACCTGCCACTGTTTTTTTAGAAGCTTATTGTGAATTGAGTGACAATTTACAGGGAAGATAATCATATTTATAGTCAACTAAGTGTAGTGGTTACGAGTTGGGCTGCTAACTTCAGGGTCAGCAGCTCGAAACTACCAGCTGTTCCGCTGGAGAAAGATGAGGCTTTCTGCTCCCGTAAAGATTTACAGCCATGGAAACCCTGTGCAGGGTTGCTATGAGTCAGAACTGACTCCATGGCACATAACAAAAACAACAATCCTATTTTATTTCAACTATCCCCTTCATGTACCATCAGTTACCAGTATTTACCTCTATTATTATTATTATTTTTTTAATGTACATAAAACACACAGAATATATACACTTATTTAAATGACCAAAGGGCACATTTTGCAAGCCTGCCTCCTGCCTGAAGGTATACAACCTTCTTCATTCCTTAGAGTCCTCAGCTGCTCTATCTCTCTTTGCCATCACCTCTGCTTCTGACTCTGCTGTTGCTGCTTTTCTGGTTAAGATCTTATGCTCTTCCTTCTTGATGGTCCTAGGGTCCTGTGCTCCTGGAATGAATGATTAACTATTTTCCCCTTTTGTTTCACATCGTCTACCTTTACAGTTGTGACAAGTCATGATACCAATTACTCACTACTGAATCAAAAGAATCCTATCCCCATCCTCCCCCATCCCCTTTCACCAGACCCACCTAGACAATAGGAAAACTTCAGTGGGGCTTCTACCTTACACCCCTTGTTTGGAAACTAAGCATGCTCTTGAGAACTTGCAAGCCAGCCACTTTGTGCCTTTATACCCTTCCATTTTTGTTAGCCAGTGTTTAGGTTGCCTGTCCCTATCAACCCTGTATACTGAGAGGACAGGCTTGATCCTTGATATGAAGAATCCTTTCCCTTTGGTTAGAATTTTGAGCAGCTATATCCATAAGCAAAAGTCCAGTTCATCAAATTGTAGCAATTTACATTTGCTTCCTGTATCAAACTTCTTTATCTTCGTCAGCAAAGCATCCAAGCTATGTAGATTGGTACTATCTGCTAGTTTGGGTGTTCTTGCACATCTCCCCCCACTTCAGACCAGCTGGCTGCTTCACTCTCAGTTCTAGCCCCCAGTGGGTAGGTCAGTGTCCATGGATGGACTCAGGAGTTCACAAGCCTCCCTAAACAGCCAGTCCTTCTCTCTCTCATCTCAGGGTCCTTCTCTCATCTTAAGGTTGACGGGAGTCTATGGGAGATGGTCAAATATAGCCCATATCTTCATTGCAACATTTCCTCCAATTCCACTTACAAGTAGCCAGCTTATAAGACTGTTCATGTGTTACCTTTGAGTTTCAGCCTTGGAATGGGGTTTGCCCTGGAGGACTTGAGCCATGGTGGCTCCCAGATGAACAGCTTGCTTCGTCTTGTACCAGCCAAACAATCTTTTTTTTTTTGCCTGTTGGTGATTCCCCCTTTTGTAAGTCAACACTTAACATAGAGTCAGGATCCACCCTACTCTAGCATGACTTCCTTAACTGATAACATCTTCAAAGAAAGACCTTATTTCTAAACAGTGTCATGTTCACAGGTGTTGCATAGTCAGTCCACTTAAATTCTGCCTTAGTCTTTAATTATTTGTATTGGGGGGGTCTTCTCGGGTGTTTTCTGAACATGTTTACCACCCTGGGCATGTGTGTGAGTTTCTAGATTCTTTGGTATATGTGGGCACTTTTGAATGCCCTAATTTTTCAGAGAAATCTCTCCCCAACTTTTCCTCTCTGGCTGTCATCGTGCCTAATGTTTGCCTCAGAGTCCTGGTGTGGTGCTGTGGGTTAATATGCTGGACTGCAAGGTTGGTTGGAACCACAAGGTTGGCAGTTCAGGCTTACTAGCTGCCCCTCAGAAACCCTATACAAGGTCACTATGAGTCTGAATCAACTCGACAGAACTTAACAACAGCAACAACAACGTTTGCTTCAAGTCTTTTGCCCAGGTGGAAGCAGATTTTTCATTTGCTTCAAGAAATTTTCGAGGAATGCCCTACGTGTAGGTGATTTCTCTCCTGGGAGAGTTCCAAGTTATGGTGAACTGCCTTCATGGAGCTGCCAGACAGGTCCAGGCAGACAAACCTGATTTTTTCAGAATCAGGTCTGCTCTGCTCCTTATGCATCCAGGGACCAGGGTCTCTAGCTGAGTATCTAATGATAGACTAGAGTGGGGAGGAGGGCAAGTGAACTGCTGCAAAGCTTTCCTAACCAGTTTTCAGTGCTTTTGTCTTGGCTCAGTATTCAACTGGTTGCGGTCAATTTCCATTTTTCCGACTTCTGACAGAGTTGATTCTGAAAGTTTTTGGGTAAGTTTTGTGTGATTCTGTGGAAGAAGGAGCCTCTGGAGCTATCTACTCTGCCTTTTTTTTTCTTTTTTTTTTTTTTAATGCTTTATTGTGTATTATATGATAGTTTACATGGGAGAACTTTAGTTTTACATTCATTCCATCGTATATTATCTCACTGCCATGGTTCAAATCCCCTCCATGCGTCCTCAACCATCCAAAGGGTATATCCCAGAAACCTGCTCCTTACACTTCCCTCTGTCTCCTTCCCCCAGTTTTTAGCCCACAGTCCCTTTCCTTCTCTGGGTCCAAAGTCCCCATTCGTTTCATCACTCCGTGTCATCATCTCTGTCTCCATCTCAGGCATCTCTGTTTCTCTGGGTAGGGTCCCGCTCTCGGCTCTTCTCCCTTGATGGTCCCAGAGGCCTCCGCTCCTATCCTGGAGAATCAATCACTCCCTTCCTTGTTACAAAACT